GAGTGTAACCGTTTTCGGCAGAACGGTTGTCGATAGATTGACTTCACTTGTCTCTTTGAAGAGTTTATAGCTTGGTGTGGAGAATAGCAGCACTCACTGATGATGCCGACTACGATATCGGCAAAACGTTTAAGAATGTATCAAGTCCACTGTCAGATGTTGGGAATCATGAAAACTACAATAGTAGACGACTTCGGACTAGGCGCTTTCTTCAGTCCCCCTGACAACAAGACCAAGTTGCAACAACGAGGTCAACCCACTTATATAAATCGAAAGGAGACTGCGACCATAACAGAGGCCATAACATCTTGGTCTTCATATATTCAAGTAAAAAACAGTTAGATGTCCGAAGAGACATTGACAGATATTAATTAAGAATATAAAAAATGAAAATGTATTAAAATGCACAACAGTGGAACGAAACAACAAAATGGGAGGTGATGAGAGGTATAATACTTTCAGCATAAGTCACCGTGGTGTTGAACATAAATTACATTGAACAAAACGATAGAAGCATTTCCACACAAGTTAAGCCAAGAGAACAAGTGCGTGGCAAATATCTTCAGAGGAGTAAGATAGGAATGATCAAGTATATAGGTTCAAGGCTATTTTAGCGAGGAGGGGGACGGATAAACCACTCTAAGTGCAGAAGATACAAAGACAAATAAAGGAGAACGGCCTGGCGGGCATAAAAGGGAAAAATGTGGCAATAAGTGCAAATGGTGAGCCAATAAGGAAGCAGATCTACGTGGAGGAAAAAATAGTGGCTTTACGTTTACGAGCAAATGAGGTTAATCGACCAATCGGAGCTGATATATTCAAAATTAAAAAAAAGTTTGACTTTCGCGATTTAAAGTAGAAATAATTCAATACACAAAATTAGGCACTCTTTAACTAAATTTACGATGTGGAATGAGGGATTAATAAAAGGATAACAAATCAAAAGATTTAAAGAAACAAATAAGATAAATATACTCAACTGGCTTATAATGCGAAAAACACTCGGTTTGAAGAGAAATAATACAAATTAAAGAATTATTCAGAGTAAATTGGATAACGAAAATAGCAAGTTGAAGGGCCAAAATAACAGCTTAGTTTTATTTCGATAGAAGATACGAACTTCGATCGTAATTCAAAGTAATATTCGAAGAACAACAATAATGAAGGAGAAATTTTTCGGTGCATAAGAAAAACTCTGATAACTTACAGATAAAGTAGATACAATAGCTGAGTCATTGGAGAATAGATCAATGAGAAGAATGGTCATGCAGATCAACGAAATAGAATAAAAAGATGAATGCCAAATGGTTCATTAGACAATAACGTTTTGCTTATTTTAGGATACGAGTATAATTTAAATAATTCCGTTATCAAACTACTTTCAGCACATAAAGTGCAACCATTTTTTACCCTCTTTCATACTTGCACGACATACTTCCTCAAAGAGTAGATTGGTCTTTGGTTAACTTCAAGTAAAACCAAATACGATGCTTATAGCTCAAAAAAGAACGAAGTGTACAGTAGCGGCTATAAAAGGCGAAAACATCGTTAAGTTGTATGTAGGAGATAATTACCGTGACAGTAGCAAGGAGACCCTCAGGTACGTTGGCAACGATTATACCGATGAGAAAGATAACAGCGTCAAGCCAGTAATAGCCAAGAATGAAAGCGATGACAAAGAAGGTGATGCCCAGGAATACGGCCACTCCAGTAATTAAATGAATAAAATGCTCAATCTCTTTGGAGATGGGCGTTTGGCCCATCTCTAGACCAGAGGCTAAGTTGGCGATTCGACCCATTACAGTGCGGTCACCAGTGCTAACGACAACGCCACGGCAAGTGCCTGCGCGACAAGGTGATGAAAATTTAATGTGAGAAAACAAAAATAAGAAAAAGCAATGTAAAATAACGAAGATATTAAAGAAAGACAAATTACTAATAATGAGGAATAAAATATGTAGATACGAGAGTAAAGATGTTAGGGAAATTAAAGACTAGTAGGTTAAGGGGGAAGGGTGAAAGTGATGTGTTTGGACGATATATCGGGCGTCTCCTTTTTGCTTGTCATGTTGGATCCCTGCTATCTCCGAGTTTTATTAGGCAGCAGGCATAGTTAGTGATAACTATGCCTTCTTCTAATCTCCTCTTAATTAAATTATTTTCCCCAAATGAGCAAGAGATTGGAAGAAGGCTGAATTAGAAATAACTTTGCCTATTGCCTAATAATACACAGAGAAAACAAGGATGCAACAAGATAAGGATAAAGGAGATGCCTGGATCAAAGATCTATCGTAAACTATAGGTAAAGGGATCGCAAGGAAGAATAGGATGAAGAGGTTTCGGAAATGAAGCGAAGAGGTTTTTAGTGAGAGTAGCCAAACTAAATATACAACTGCAACTTGGGAGCCTGACGTTTTACGTGACTAGGGAAAGGGATTGGTTGACATGACTAAATTCACTAATAATCCACTTCAGATGCAGCAGGCCACCAGAGATAGATATCCACTAATTGCTTAGGGTACATGGGCTTAATTGATAATATGATGCGTGAAGGTAATGCCTAATATCCGCAGGCATGGGAATCAGAGCCTGGGTGCTCTGAAGATAAGGCGACTCTGTACGTGCTTGAGAAATAGTACCTGGAATAAAAGTACGCTGGGGCTGGAATCAAGTGAAATCAGTCAGCAAAAAAGATAAGACCGCGACCATACAAAAGGCCACACCGTCCTGGTTTTCATACCTTCGATTAAGCTATAAAGATTGTATGGTTTATCCAGCACCAGTGCGAAGGTTTAAAAATGAGAAAATTTTACAGCAAAATTTACTTTAGCCGAGGAATCATATCGAATATGACTAGCTTAGGAAATAACTTTTAAATTAACCTGCATATTGTTTATCCAGTCCTGAGTAGGGCTTTATTAATATATAATTATTTGTGCGTTCTACAAGTATTTCAGATTTCGAAAATTATTACCAGAAAGATATAAACAGAGACGCACAAGGATGAGTTCAGCCAAGAATATAAATCATGGAAGAAACAAAGGGGGGTTGAGTGAATATGGAGAAATAGAAGTGACCAGATGATTTTTAGAAACTTAATAGTAATTATGAACAGCAAAATAATATAATTGTCACGGCCTTCTTTAGTTGTCTGATGTTGTTCTGATTTTATTTTCGCAAATTGGTTGAAACTACATGGTTATTATGTAAAACACAACTATTCCTGTTTACTCTGTCGTTTTATTCACGATCATTTCCAGCATCAGCTAGTTAATTTGGTACATTATCAGACATTTTTTGGAATCGTCATCCTAAACACAAAGTTGCAACCCATTGTTGATAGGTGAGATGTTTAAGGGGATTACCATCACTTGATCCTGATGAGCTGTAACTCTGTGCAAAGGATAGTGTCTCTCACTGACGATGCCGACTAAGATGACGGCGAAACGTATATGGTACGGAGTTAACGGACACATGATTAAAATAATCATGAATACTATATCAGATGAAACAAGAAAAAGTATGCTCCACAAGGTTTTGTTGTCCATCCTGCAAGAAAGAGGTCAAACTAATGCCTAAATTAATAGTTTAGTAATAAAAAGATATTGATTGACAAGCCACAGTAATGAAAGGAAAAAATGATTAAACTAGCTGGCAATAAGTAAAAAGTATGATGACCAAGATGGTGGGGCCTTTGGTATGGTCGTAGCCTCCTTCCAATGTATGGAAGTGGGCTGACCTCGTTTTCACAACTTGGTCATGTTGACAAATTGACTTAGTTGGACGCATCTACGATACCAGAGAAATGTCTGAGAATGTACGAAGTACAACGTTGCACCACGGTCCAACGCTGGAAATTGTGATAACTACCTCGTTAAATCTATAGAGCAGATGTAAGCTCTCTGAAGAGCTTCAATCTGGTTAAGCTGCCAAAACTAAGATTAACAAGCCCGTCTTGCATATATTCCCGGATAAACGTGACACGTCAACGCCTATGGTTTCCATAATTCGGGCTAAGGTGGAATCGTGGAAAGAAAGAAATAGTTTGAACATTTAAGAGAGCAATAAAGTCCATATAATTAATCTACTTGGTGCACATGAAGGATTGGGTAAAATAGCGACAATAGAAATTTCCATTTATTTAATCCTAATACTACAGGCCAGAGGACGAAACAAATTAAAAGGAGTAAGAAAAGTAAAAGGAATCTTCTGAATTAAAATCATTTGGATTGTACTAATTGTGTATTCTCTTTATTGCACAGAAATTTCCAGTTCACTTAATCGTTAGAAGCATACATACGAAAATTCAAGGACAAACGTCTTCGAAAATAGCTTATCAAGACTTCCCTTCCTCGATAGGCTCGAAAAAAAATACGAACAAAACATACAACAGCAAGCAAGAGTCATTGCCCAAACTAATTACGAATAATTTTGATCCACGATAGGATTAGAACCTATTTGCACAACAGACCTAAATTAAATTGCCTTTGATGCTCATTCAGAGGCAGCAAAAGAAACGTTTATATGGGCTATTAAACGGGAGGGAAACTATGAGAGCCGTCAAATTTATGTTTCAAGGAACAGAACTATCTCCTCGTATATACTTAAAATTCGAAGGATAAACTGTTTCTTTTAATACTCAACTACTATTTATACTTTCTTTCAGCATAGCAAAGATCTAAATTAAATTCAGAAACCGAGAAAATCCAACTCTATAGGGCAAAAGGAGACTGTGACCAAACCAAATGTCACAATATATTTTTCTTCATATATATGAATGTTTACTTTTGCAAGATAGTCCTAGTCTACATCTTGCCAACTTAGCAATTTAAAAGATGCTTTGTCAATTATTGTCTGAAAAAATTATAGATAGTCTTACCAAGTTATAAATTTTAGTAAACTTTATAAATATAATCAGTGGTATGAAAAACAAGATGATGCGGTCTTTAGCATTGTCACGGTTTTCGTTCGTTGTATAGAAGTTGTTTTCGCAACTTGGTCAGGTAGATATAGAGGAATGCACCTTATTCGGCGTCCATAGTAATCATGGTCATTTACAAATAGATAATAAGAAGTTATTTTAGAATATTTTAATTTTGCCATAGTTACAACATAGCCTTTAAGGATTCATGTCTGTCCGTTTTTATAATGACCTAGAGAATGGTATCTTGTCTAGTTTCCATAGTATCCATAATAAATTCAATTATGACCGTGGATTTAGTACATTTTCAGATGTTTACAAGACATCGACAATGAGCCTTGCAATTCTTAGAACCACACCACAACTCGTCAAAGGGAGAAGTTGATTCGTCTAATGAACATTTGTAGTATCTCTCTTTCTGTCCTGGTGCATTCACCTATACTATATCCAAACATCAGGTTGGCATAAGCAAATAATAAATTGTGATAGTGAAGGGATAATACGAGGATATAAAAAAGGTGAATGAACCGAGAGGGAAGGAGAAATATCACAGCTATTCAGCAGACAATTAGTCAAAGATAAGCATTACTTGTCATTTTGATGAATTGTAATGCAAGGATCACTGATGATGCCGAAGAAACATTTGGAAATGTACCAAGTCCAGGGTCCGACTCTGGTAATTATCATATATAGTATGAACATCAAACAAGATGCGTTTCTCTGGATAATTGCACATATTAACATACTTTGAATCCTTAAAGGCCGATGCCATGCTGTAATTATGACCTAGAGAATGGTATCTTGTATAGTTTCCATAGTATCCATGATAAATTCAATTATGACCGTGGATTTAGTACATTTTCAGACGTAACAAGACATCGACAATGAGCCTTGCCATGCTTAGAACCACACTACAACTCGTCAAATAGAGAAGTGAAGTTGATTCGATTGTCTAATGAACAGTTGTAGTATCTCTCCTTCTGTCCTGGTGCATTCACCTATACTATATCCAAACATCAGGTTGGCATAAGCAAATAAAAAACTGTGATAGTAAAAGGATAATACAAGGATATAAAAAAGGTGAATGAACCGAGAGGAAAGGAGAAATATCACAGCTATTCAGCAGGCAATTAGTCAAGGATAGGCATCACGCATATCAACATACTTTGAATCCTTATATGCCGATGCCATGCTGTAATTATGGGAAAATTAAAATATCATGAAGTGAAAAATATGATTTTTCATTTGCTTTTTGCTAATTTTAAACGATAACTGAAAATAAAAGTAGCGTAAAAATTTAAATATTGAAATTAAAATATATAATGGGACATTAAAAAAAAGCTTAATTATAACTTCCGATAAACTAATATCAGGGATCTAAAAAGTCTCCTGATTAATGACTATCACGAGATATTTACGTAGTTGCTATAAGAAAAAAAAATACCACCCTATTTGTGGATAGCAAAAAACAATACGGCAACCATGTTTGATAGTACATGATTACAAAAACCAACGATATATATATAAATAATTAATTAAATTAAACCATGATTACCCTAAAATATGGTAAAAATCTAGAAAATCCGTGTTGTCAAAGGATATCAGCCTAAAACTGGCTTGACCTTGTATAGAATGATACTTCATCTGACGAACAGAAATTGAAAAATGTTTATTATATCAAAACATCACAAAATCGTCCATATCGAAGGTGAGTTATTATTATGGATGGGCACGTGTAAATATCGCCTAGATCTAATATTGAAATAAAAAAGGGGATCGATTTGAGTGCGAATTCAGAAAGAAAAAATGTCCGAAATAAATCAATGGTAAAGATAGATTCTACAGTGCTAGTATGAAACAATAACAGCTGCAAGATTA